AGACTCTGGCACAGGATCGGGAACGTTGGAAGCGCTGTCTGACGCGTCTGCCTCCGCGACCCGAAAGGAGGAGCGGCGATGGAAGATGAAGATGAAGAAGAGTTAGTCCTTTTTCAGCGAATATATTTGACAAGTTATCAAATATCCTTGTATCCTCTGGCTCGACGATGTCGTCGCTGGGTATGATGGAGCAAAGATAATTAAATAAGTCAAGCTACAGCAATGCTTCACAGTGTTAGTCCGCTATAAAATCAGGTGTATCAAATGGATACGTGAGATACTTGACTTTTAGGCATTAAGGAAGAGACGTGCTTAGCCCGCAGTTACATAAGTGAATAGATAATTGAACGACTCATGATTCAGGACAATAAACACAGATGATAGCAAAATCCTTAATGCCAACGCGTTTTACAACATAAACCTTCGCATCATAACGGTCGAGTTCAGAGTTATGCCTTGATGATATCATGGTTTATGTAGTTAAACTCGTTAACAATAAGGATTTTGATATCTACTGCGTTTGGTGCCTTGTGTTATGAATCATTCAACCATCTTCGAAAGGAATAGCATACATTGATAAGCTTGTTCTCATTTTTCGAGAGCAGAAATTATGCGTTTATCATAATTATGACTGTCAATCTTCGATCTGTCCACGTGAATTACTAGTGACGAAAAAGTGTTCTAGTAGTCTGCAGTAGAAAATGAGTTTGATCCCAGTTACTTGAACAGACACTTAAAGAGGAAGTTTCAAATGGATTCACGGAAACGTGAGCAACGGGGCCACGCTGACAGAACGAGCCTGTGGCGATGTCACAACAAGGATGGCGGATGCTGCTTTCGAATTCCAAGCAAGTACTAGAAAAAATAATTTCTGCTGTCACTTTCCTAAACAATTCCTCAGAGGATGGATCGACGTGCAATGCTTTAACGACGCCACATTCTGTCTGAAACGAGAACGACGGTGTGCGAATCTGAGTTCGTTGTCGCTGGCACGCATTTTTTGAACATCGGTGGAATTTCAAGGCAGCTTTAAAGGCACGAAGCGAAACTAGAGATTTAGTAAATCTGCTGAAAACAACTGTGCTCGCGATGATTTAGATCAGCTCGATGGAACCGTCTGACGTGCTGAACAGTGAAGAACATACCATGCATTTGATCTGGGTTGGTCAACGCATAGGGCCAAGTATTGAGACATAAGTATCAGTGCTTTATGTTAAAATAAATAGCCCGTTTAGCAGCCTTTTTACTGCGCTCTGGAGCAGCTACCTATTGGATCATTACACTGCCTTGACGTTAGCTGAATAAATGATCGATGTCAGTGGGCATGTGAAGAATTTCGCTGCCGGCTTTACCGCGCATTGGCGATTGGACTCTCCGGCGTACCGACCGACAGACACTGTAAGAGCGGGTGGGGTGGGGACGACCGCTAGAGCAGCAATCGCATTCGTGGAGGGGGGCCACCGCCGTTCAGCGACCAATCAGCGACGTTGCGGTGTCGAAGCGCTACCGCGAGCGCGGGGTCTTCGTATCGTATGGCTCGGCGCGAAGAAGGGGGGGGCGTTGCTGACGAAGCCGGCAGACCTGTGTACATGGTCATACGACGGCCGGGTCGGTTCGACATGGCTGTAGTTGCCATCAACGTAACGATGTCATAAAGCAAAGCCGGCGTACATCATCGTTGGGCAAAGCTGCGTCGAAGTTGCGAAGTTATGCGCAAACCGCGCAGACACGTTTTTTGGGCACGTACGCTCGAAAAAGCGGTCGACCGGTAAAAACGTGACTCTGGTGTTCGTAGTCTTCGCCTCAAAACGATCCTGCTGATAGTGCGTTCATGTTGGGCGAAAGCAGCCTTGACCACGGCGACGATCGTCTACTACTCCTGAACCAACCCTGTCTCGGGCACAGCACCTCCTCTAACCGCTGATTGGCCATCGGACCAGGGGGCAACAGAACTCTCCCCTCCCCTTTCCTCTTCCCTCCCCCCCCACACACACACCTCTAACGTGCATTACAACGAAGTCGAAAGCCGAGGACCACGTTGTTGACCGAAAGCCACCCAGGACATCCTTGGCGATGCCCGAGGCCAGCACTGACGAAACGGCCATCTGACAGCATGACCGAGCTGTTTACAGAAAACACGCCCAAAACCGTGTGATTTCATCGTTTAACTATTTCGTTCTCGTGTTTCATGTGTTCGCCGCCAACAGCACCCAGACAAAAATACCGAACGACTCGAAAGAAGTGTATGAATAAGAAAGGATTTATTTGTTGCTTGATAAAGGTTACAGCGGCTGCTTTTCGCCACCTAAAATAGATCATCCGTCGACGAAAGATTGTTCTGTGAGGCCATGACTTCTACCGCTACCATTCGACTGCGACGACCTACTCTGTTTGGGCGAGTGGGAGCCAGTAGCGGCTCTCGGCTCTCGGCTCTCGGCTCTCGGCTTTCGGCTCTCGGCTGTCAGGCTCCACGTTCGAACGTGACAAATGCATAGACGAGGCAAGCAACATTACACACGGCAACTGTTCTCATGTACGCAATAGTAAACAACTTAATTATCATAATAAAAATTAACCCCATGATAATTATGGGTTTGCCAGCCAATCGCTAGCATTCAATATCGCCCGCAAGAATGTCTGACAAGAACCTCCTCTTTGTCAGTTCCCTGGCTTCACACGAAGTAATCGCACTGTCTCGTCGCTTTCAGCAACCTGGAGAGCCGTTTGAGCTTGCCGTGGTATTTTGGCGCCAGCAGTGTCTAGAGGCGAAACCGCAGGACTTTATGAGGTTGTAACTCGAACTGTAAGCATACGTAATAAATCAACTCATTGAAAAATATATCATAGGAGGTTCCACATCATCCAGCTGTAACCAAATGGCGGTTCGTATTATCTCAGTTTCTGAAATAAACTTTCGTTGAACAGCCATTCCTCCAGGCCTATAAAATATTATTGCTTCTCTTTTACGGACGATATTTTCGCAGGTGTATTGGACGCAAGAACTAAAACGTGCGAGTCCACACCCCCGGTTCAGTAAACAGGCGACACCGTGAATAATAAATTGCACGTTACTTCCGTTAAATATCAATAAAAACGAAAGCCTTTAAAAATTCTCCAATCATGTGATCAGAATGCCCACTTGCCCACTTCTTAGGCAGAAGATTTAAATTCCCAGCAGCACTTAGTGCTTGAACGTTCTTCGCCGGTCGTTTCTTGATTCAAAACAGTCAAGGGCTGAAGTATATTTACTTCATTTCACTCAGCTCTGGTTTTTTATATTGAGAGTTTTCTGTTCTCCTCGACAAGGATATATATATATATATTTTCTGCCTCCTCGCAATTACCTGATCGAAATTCTGCGGAAAACTTGAATGTAGACCATGCCACTTGCGTTTTTATTATTTGATCATTGATTATGCGGCAAAACTTTAGCGTCTGTGTTATGCAATGAACATCGATGCTCGAAAGCGGGCAACACGGTTCACAAAATCGCATCATTTTCTAAACATCGAGTGTATTCAATTGTGTTAGTGGGTGGTCTTTTGAACACAGGTCAGCCCTATGAAATACGGAGAAATGTCACAAGCAATGTACACTATTACAAAGAACTACTGTATACCACCCTTCGCCATGTGACACCCGTTAAATGAGACTAACTACAG